CCTCCTGCCTCAGCCTCCCAGAGTGCTGCACACCTATATTATGGTGGTATTTTGTTCTGCAGTCTGTCGCCCCAGTCGTCAGTCAGTGTTACATTAATTTGTGAGGTATTTAAACCTTCTTTGGGGGCTGGGGATTTAGCTCAGCGGCAAAAGCGCCTGCCTGGCAAAAGCAAGGTCGTGAGTTCGGTTTCCGATACCGGAGAAAAACCAAAAAAACAAATAAACCTTCTTTGTTCTGCTAGCAGAGTACAGTTGTCAGAATAAGAAAATGCGTGCAGTCTGCTGCCTAGACAGCCTGTAAAAGGTGGACAAAGACATAGACCCATCGGGAAGATTAACACAGCATTTTTGCTGTCGTTGTTTATTCTTGTGGCACTGGGAGTTGAACCCTAGGCCTTTGCATAAAGTTACATCCCCACCCCCATTTAAAAATTTTTATTGACCTTGAGACACGGTCTCACTATGTAGTTCAGGCTGCCTTGAACTCACTGTGTAGTCCAGGCTGACCTGTTGTCTCGCCGTGATCCTCCTGCCTCAGCCTTCTAAATGCTGAGATTACAGGCATGCCCCGCCAAGCTCAGTTTTCGTTTTTCAGTTATGGTGTCATACAGCTGTCCAGGAGGCACTCGAATTTGTGGTCCTACTGCCCCAGCCTTCCAGAATGCTGGGGATTTTAGCACAGTTTTTTGAAAGATAACAGAAAAATGCTCTGGTATTTTATTCAGAGTTAGCATTAAACTTACTGTCTGAATGTGTATTTTAAGGTTTAACAGAGTTAAACAAATCTAGGGTTTAACAGAAAATTCTCCACAATCTGTATTGATGCCTTGCATCTTCATGATAATCTCATGAGTTAGGCAAGTAGTTTTAGTTTACAGAGGAGTGAAGTTGTTAACCCGGCGTGTTTCAGACTCCTGCCTTATGTTGCAATCAAAGACCTTTTCTTTGTGTACTTAGATAACACTGGAGCTGTGGGTAATCAACACTAATTAGGAAATTCATTCCTGGAGTGAAATCAGTTCACAGTAATTCGAATTATTAAAAGATTTTCTTGGGAAGGCTAGAATGGTCTTTGGTAATGGGTTAGGGTTGGAGACATCAGTGTAAATTGTTTGAGACTGAGGGTGTGTTAATCAGCTTTGTGGTACTATAGTAAAAGATAACCAGTTTATAAAAGGTTTATTTGGGGGCAGTTTTGGAAGTGTCAGTTCCTTGTTGATTGCCCCTTATTTGGGAACCTGTGGCAAGGCAGCGCTGTGTGTCAGAAGCGTGTGTTAAGGCATAACTGCCCACCTCAAGACCAGGACCTATATAGGACTGAGGGTGGGAGAGACTGGTGTCCCAACACTCTCCCGGAGCATGCCCCCAGTGACCTAAAACCTCCCACTAGACCCCACACTGCGAAGTTCCACAACCTCCCTGTCACTGGACAGGGTTCCAGGAGGTTCCTAAGCCTACCTTATCTGTAGAATTAAACTGCAGGTTCATCAATTCCCTTCATGGAAAAAGAATTTTCAGCCGGACGTGGTGGCACACGCCTGTAATCCCAGTACTCGGGAGGCTGAGGCAGGAGGATCGTAGCGAGTTCGAGGCCAGTCTGGGCTACAAAGTGAGCTTAAGGCCAGCCTGAACTGCATAGCAAGACCCTGTCTCAAAAAGACAAAAAAAAAGAAAAAGAAGAATTTTCAGGACACATCAGTAAGAGTTATGAAGGGATTTATTAGGCAGATATTTAAATGTAAAAGTACACATTCGGAGAAATAGAGTGTGGGCCTTATGATCTAGAGAGGTTTTATACTGTATATACGGGGCCTAGGATGTGTGTTTCTGCTGTCAGTTACCCATCTGGTGGAGTTATGTTAGATAGCAAACTATTCATAGGTGTTTGACCTTGAGATATGCTACCCATTAATACTGCTCTTCCCTTGAGCATGAAGTAGTATTTATAGGTAAAAAGGTGGTCTGTTCACATGTGAAAAAGGTCAATTTGCAGATGAAAGGGAATTGCCCAGGCTTATTGCATCTTGGGTGAAGAGGAAAATATTTAAAATGGGTTTCATTAATTTTTGTGTCCTGAAGCTGCAGATTTTTTTTAAGTACAATTTTAAAATTCCAGTTTTCCTTGTCTACTTCCTACCTTGTCTCCTCCCTTATCTTTATTTTTTTTTTTAATCCTACTTCACTTCAATTAGTGCAAAGATGGAGTCCCAGCCTATAGCATGTGAGCTTTTGAGGGACACCTAGATCCAAACTATAACAGAAGGGTAAGCACGTTTTTTATAATGTGTATAGCCTTGGGCTGGTGTACACACATGTATTTCCTTTCTCTTTCTGAAAAGGCATAGGAGCATCCCTGGGAGCGCAAGTATACCTAGCACCCAGATTTTGGTTTCACATACCATCCTTTACCATGGAAAGCAGGGCTCTTTCAGAAATGACTTAATTCTGGGACTGAGAAGGAAAATATACCTTGACTTGGAACTCTTTAGTTGCAGAAAGTAAGGAAGTGCTAAAAACAAAAACAAAAACAAAAAAAAAACAGTCCACATTGATGTAAATAGATGGTTGAAAAAATAAATGGGAGAAGAAGCAAATCTCCTGTGCAGAAGAAGCACCAAATTATTTAATGTAGTTATCCCATAGTGAAGAGGTGAAACAACTGCTTTTTTTTTTGCTTTGTCTTTTTTGTTTTGTTTTTTTCCGATAACTCACAACCTCGCGCTTGCCAGGCAGGCGCTGTGCCGCTGAGCTAAATCCCCAGCCCCAACTTCTGCTTTTAAGTGAATTGCGTGTTGTCTTCCAAACTACTGTCTCCTGTCCTCCATTAGTATCTGTGGAGCTTGGTTTCCTCACCCCTGGTAAGAGAAACTGGAGGCTCAGGTCTAGTGTTGCCTAATGGCCTAGTGTTTGCATAAAACCTCAGCATTCTCCCCGTAAACTTTAAATCATCTTTTGATTATTATTAACACCTAATACAATGTAAGTGTTGCATAAATAATTATTATACTATGTCATTAAAGATATAATACGGAAAAAAGTCTGGATGTTAAGTACAAGTGTAATTATTTTTAAAAACATTTTTGATTTTCACTTGGTTGAATTTGCAGATATAGAATCCCATGGATGCAGAGGGCTGACTAAACCTATCCTCTGTGGCACTCATTATAATTGTAGTGACTTGCCGGGTATGGTGGTGCACGCCTGTAATCCCAGCACTTGGGAGATTGAGACAGGAGGATCCTTGTGAGTTCGAGGCCAGGCTGAACTGCATAGTGAGACTCGCTGTCAAAAATCACTTCATAAGGATCAGAGACGGACTGTCTGTCCCTCAGTTATGAGCTGCTAAGACATTCTAGCAGTAGATGTTCAGTAAAGGTTTAATCACCTGTTTAAATTGTATATAAATCTGTTCTCTTTAAATACTATTTGGGCTGGGAATGTGGCTCGGTGCTAGAGTTCTTGCCTTGCATGTACAGGGTCCTGGGTTCGATCCCCAGCACCACCAAAAAAAAAAAAAAAATTCTATTGTAACTATCTGGCCCATGTAATCTGTTACATCATGAGATTATGCCATTGTAGAATTGAAGAAGGAGTAAGATTATTGTTTTGTCTGCTTAATGGCCACAGAACTGTTTCTTGGCTTGCTAATTATTTATGCTATAATACATACACACACAATACATATGTACACTTACATATACATATACCAATCAAACCTTGGATGAAGTATAATACTAATGCAGGTACTTTATTTTAGACATAGTATTTTGTCGGAGAAGCCTTTCCTGACGATCCTTTCCCCAAAAAGATACTTAAATTCATTGTAAGGTTTCTTTGCTGTATGCTGCCCTAGCATTCTGTCCTTGTCTTTTTCAGTTTCACATTTTAGTAGTGCAGTCATTTATCCTTTGATGAGCTAGCTCACTGAGATCCAGGGATACGGTTTATGCACCATTGAATGTATTCACTGCCTGCTATAATGTCTAGGTGGACAAATATTTGTGAGATAAATATTAATAAGTACACTTTTTAAATATAGCTATCTGAAAAAAATTACATAACTGAAATCTTGATAGAAATAATACAAAATATTTCCTATACTATGAAGAATTTCATGGTATAAAATTACTTAGATCTAAATCATTTTTGTTAGTGTACTGTGATACTTGTAAATAGTTTTAAATATTTGTTATTCTGCATGTGAGTCAGGTAAGTCCCCAGTAAGTCCTCAGTAAGTCCTCAGTAAGTCCTCAGTAAGTAAGTCCTCAGTAAGTCCTCAGTAAGTCCTCAGTAAGTCCCCAGCTTATGAACAAGATCCATTTCAGGAGAACTTTTGTAAGTCAGATTCACTCATAAATCTGACAAAGTGAGTCTTACATACCTGTGGAGGATTGATAACTGGCAGTCAACTTGTAACACCCAGCTGCCTTGAACCCGTGTGGTGCTGGGTGTGGGAGGCCCACCTGAAGGTTACTGCTGGCAGCATAAGAGACAGAACTGGAGAAGAGAGGCTATTGAGAGCTGGCAGAGAGTTGCTGGTTCTCTTGGGCTCTTCTGCTGGAGGACCTTATCATGCTGGCTTTCCTGATGAATTTGGTTCTCGTCAGAAGAAGAACGTGGGACCTTGTCGCTGAGAATGGCTACGCGTCACTGGCAGGGAGCTCTGGTCCTCACTTTGAGCATAGCTTCCTAGCTCCAGAGGGAAAGATGGTACACTGCTCAGTCTCCTGGAGAAGCTTGTTGTGTTGGCTTTCCTGATAGGAACTCGGCTTTCCTCATGGTCAGAGGAGCTTGAGACATCACTATTGATTGCTAAGGATGGCTGTGGTACTTTTCAGGGGAGCTCTGGTTCTGTCTTTGAGCATCGCTTCCTTGGTCCAGTTCAGATCCCTCAGCCCGCTAGCACAGATCCTTCATCCCGCTGGCACAGACTTTCTAGCTTCCACCACTGACCTTTGGGCCTTCCCAGCACAGATCCGTGAAATAGGCCTGCATGAGACATTGTTGTGGGCTCTGAGCCTCCAATTGGACTCGTAGGAGTTAGTGTTATAGGCTCTAGGTCTTCAGTTGGACTCATGCAGGACATTTCTGTGGGATCAGGCCCTCAACTGGATTCTTTGGTCTTTAGTGTGTGCTCAGATTTCCTGCACTCTCTCTTGTATATGATTTTTTGGGTAACTGTTATAAACAACCTTATAAAATATGTGTCCTGCATTATGTTGTTTCTCCTTACAAAACCCCAAACCACAACAGTACCTTTGGCACAATGTACAGTGTAAAGCATAAAAAACAAAGTCTGTTGTATCTGTGAAAGTTCACAACTTGAATGTTCTTAAGTTGGGGACTTACTGTATTTTGGAAAGCTATTTTATTTATTTATTTATTTTTTTCCAGTACCCGGAATCAAACTCACAACCTTGTGCTTGCAAGGCAAGTGCTGTGCTGCTGAGCTAAATTCCCAGCCCCTGGAAAGCTGTTTTTGTTATGATTTGTTTTTGTTTTTGTTTGTGATACTGGGGATCAAACTCAGGACCTTTGCACATCTCCAGCCATTTTTTGACTTTTTATTTTGAGACGGAATCACAAAGTTGCCCAGGCTAGGCTCCAGCTTGTGATCCTCTTGCGTCACCCTCCCAGAGCACTGGGCTTTCAGTTACGTACCAATAGCCTGCACTTTTGTTCTGAATTTTTAAAATTATCTTAATAACTAGAACATGCAACTGTAAATTTATGGTAATTTGGGGGAGATGTTTGTAACCTATTAATGAACCACATCTACTGCCACTACTAGATTGTTTGGTTTTATCTTGATAAAATTTACTTTTTTCTTTTTCAGCTATTATTCATGGACTCTCTAGTCTTACATCTGATCAGTTGAGAACCATTTACATATGCCAGTTTTTGACAAGAATTGCAGCAGGAAAATCCCTTGGTAAATATGTATTTTAATCTTTTATTGGAAATAATTTATGTTCAAATATAAGACAATGAGAAGAAATACTGGAAATTTTCAGAGTTGGTTTACAGGTACCTGGGCAATACATGTGTGTACATGCACATGTATGTTTAAAACATGTACAGTGAAATCTTAGTGATTGTAATTCGTCCCAGAAGGATGCTTGTAATCCAAAGCACTTGTATGTCAAAGTGAATTTCCCTGTAAGAATTAATGAAAACTCAGTTGATTTCTTCCACAACCCAAAAATATTCATATAAAAATGTAAAATATTGCAATATAATCAAGAAAATAAAAATACAAAGAAAAATACACGTGGTGCATGCCTGTAATCCCAACACTCAGAAGGCTGAGGCTGGAGGATTGCCAGGAGTTCAAGGCCAGCCTGAACTGCATAGTGAGACCTTGTGTCAAAAAAATTTAATTAACCTGCACTTACCTTTGAAAACCTTCGTGGCTGATGTGAGAGAGACAAGAAAGAGGAGGACTGTTGTGTGGAACGAATTTCACTATCACTAATAGAACCTCTGTGATCTAGCTGAATGGAATCTTTCTCTTTCATGCAGCTTCAACAAGGAACCTACCCAGTGACACTTGCTTTTGCCTCCTTGTGAGGGTTTCACAGAGCTGTCACATTGCACTGTTGTTAAACAGGTTCGTCACTCCGCACTGCTGTAGCCTCATTCAGGTGGTCCTTTTCTGTGTACTTTTCCCACAGTTTACACATCTCCCTAATCTCATCAGAAGTGAGGGATTCCTCTTCCTTTTTCTCCCCTGCAGTTGAGATCTCCATAACCTATTGCTGTTGGGAGGTGATCGCCAGGAATCCCAAAATAAGCAAGCAGGAAGGTAGAGAGAGCCGTGAGGTGTTCAGTGTTTCTGATGCTGTAGTGGAAGAGCTATTTCATGGACTCACAGATTTCACTCTTAATTTTATTATATAACTTTGTGCTCATGCCAGTTATACGCTGTTTTTACTAAACACTGATATTTGAACTTTCTACAGTATTAGGGACTGAACTTCACGCTCTCCTTTTTATTTTTATTTTGAGACAGGGTCTAAGGTGCTCAGACTAGCTGTAACCTGCGATGCCACTGCCTTAGCGTCTGAGAGCACCGGTATTACAGGCTTGTGCCACCGTGTCCACTAAACTTGATATAGACACATGCTTATAAAAAGAAACATAATTTATAGCTACAATCTCCCTTATTTCCACAGTTCATATTAGATTACAATGGGCAGCTTTGGTTCAGTGTTATTTACAACATGGTCATTTAAAGTACAGTTTGGTGGAAACAATTGGTTTTTACAATTTAAACATTCTTTCCCAGCAGTCCTGGGTAGTGAACAGTATTTATATGAAACTCCAGCTGTGTTGGTTACTTTTCTGTCATTATTTAGCACATAGTCTGTGGAGGTTTCAGTCCATACTCCACTGTCTCCAATGCAGGGTGGCACATGGCAGAGGGCAACCATTCACAGCAGTGGAAGATAGCAAAAAACAGCAAGGGTACAAAGGGAGAAGTAGCCTCTTTCCCTCCCTTCCATTGTAATATAAACTACCCGCCCCAGGGTAGGTGTAGCGCTCACATCCATAATTCCAACATTGGATCATGAATCAATCGTAAACTCTAAAAGCCTACCTCATAACTGCAGGTGTCGTAGACACAAACCATAACACCAGCTTAAAAACACATCTTACATGGGGCTGGGGATTTAGCTCAGAGGCACAGTACCTGCCTAGCAAGTGCAAGGTCCTGAGTTCAATTCCCAGTACCGGAAAAAAACCAAACACCAAAAAAAAAAAACCAAAACACATCTTACACAGACCCTGCGTATTAGTACTGTGTTCCAGGTACTCACTAAATCATCTCTGGCTCACGTAGCCTGCTTTGTTTAGGGACTGAGGTTGAGTCTGGAGAGTTGGTATCAGGGCATATAAGGAGAGCTAGAGCAGAGCACATGTGGAAGAGAGGAAATATCAGAGCCTGTTGCAGAAGAGAAAAATAGGCTGGGGTAGACAACTGGAAAATTCCAGAGCTTGCAGACTTAACGGTGTTGTTAACAGGGTTCTTTTGTAAATTAAATGTATCAAAATACCTTACCCCTGTATTTGTGTTCTGCAAATGGCCCTTGTTCGGTATATTTTAGTTTCTTCACCAATAACTTTCCCTCCCATAAAAGGAGGGGAGGTCTAAGGTCCAGATTTTGTGTGAGACCGCAAGGTTGTTGTGTTCTGTTGTGGTACTGTGAATTGAACCAAGAGCCTTGAGCAGTTAGTCTCTGTACCACTTACCTATATTCTTGGCCCAATCCCATGGTTGAATTTTGAAATTCACTAGAGTTTCTTTCTTCCTTTCATTTCTTTTTTCTTTGTTGTTGTTGGGTTTTTTGTTGCTGTTGTTTTGGGTTGGGTTGGGTTGGGTTGGGTTGGGTTTTTTGAGACAGGATCTTGCACTGTAGTTCAGTCTGGCCTTGAACTCACTTTGTAACTCAGCCTGGCCTCAATCCCCTTGCCTCAAGCTCCCAACTGCTGGGATTACAGGCATGAGCTATCACACTGGCTAGGATTTCCTTTTGTGTATATATCCTAGATCTAATAGGCCAGGGTCAGCTATCATGGGTCAGTGTATTTCATTGTAATTTACTCACGTGAAGACACATTTAAAGGATTTTTGGTATATGTAACCTATAGTACTGTCTTTAGTGGTTACTCTGTATTAGTGCTGGTCAGGAGATATGAGCCAGATGTGTAACCTAAATAGGTTATTAAGAAAAGTAGAGTTCATTTTAGTCATATTTAATCCAATATTCCTAAGACATGTCAACAAGTAACCTATAAAATGTTAATGAGATACTTTACTTTTTGTAGTCTTTATGGTAAGCTTGGCATGTATTTTATACTTAAAGCACATCTCAGTTTGTAGTAGCCGCATTGTAACTACTCAGCAATTATATATGACTAGTGTTTACCATATTGGTTTTCATTTATACCACATAGCTTTAAAATACTGCAAATGTCTCAAACGGGAAAATGTTTGTTTATGGCGGACTTTCCTCGTGGGTCTTTCTTTTTTTTTTTTTTTT